TGTATCGTATTAACCTCTATATGTATCGTATTAACCTCTATATCCATCGTATTAAACTCTGTATGCATCGTATTAAACTCTGTATGTATCGTATTAAACTCTGCATGGGTCATTTTCAACATGTGTCGTATTAACCTCTATATGTATCGTATTAACCTCTGTAGGTATTGTCTTAAACTCTGTGCTATCATATACTACTCCATTTTCGCCTGTCCTTTGACTGAGATATGTAATTAACACTTGAACTGTCTAGGTGTATAAAACAAGGTACTCCATCATCATCTTTATTGACAGAACAAATTTAACCATATAGCTACCTGTACACCTGTAATTATTAACATCTACATAGTTAACATACAGAACAGTAAATCAGACACCCTGTGACATACTCATCATAATGGAATATTATATATAATGCATGTATATTTAAAGTAGGTATAAATACTTGCATCATAATTGTCTAGATAGTTTATCTATATTTAAGGGTTACTTTTACAAGAGATTAGGCAACAATGGTAAATGTGATTGTTCACTTCCATCTTCATTGTTTATGACTATAGGTAAGCGTTCTTGAAATACCAAAACTAAATAACAAAACATCTTGAAATAGTTTATAAGAAGGGGTGTTTTTAGCTTTAGGATACCCGCCCCACCCCCTCCTATTCTTATGTTAGTAAATTTATTTTAATGATGCGTTTCTTTTTTTATGAATGATTTAATAGAAATGTAAATAAGAGTCGAATGTAGATAATAGCATTTCATATCGCCAATCTATAGGCTGGATGTATTTGAATTAACCAATCGGTACATGATTTCTAAAACAGTTAGTGTATTTGTTTTAACTGTGTGTGTTGTGAGTGTTGGGGTGGGGGTGGGGGAGAGAGAGACAGAGAGAGAGGGAGGGAGAGAAATGGAGTTTAACGTCCTCTTGACACAAACTAGGTCATTTCGGGACTAACATATGGTTTAATTTTATTTCAATAATTCGCTTCCGCGTAGGGGTCTTTAGCAGTGGGGGGAAATCGGAGGACCCGGAGAAAACCCACGAGGTTGGACAGGCGACCCTACTCTCTCTTTAAAAATGAGAACCGAACTTGACGAATCTCGAAGTCGCTTATGCGCTGATGTTAGGTCCACGATATCCTCTTGTAGTTCGCTTATAGAGGGTCCCGTGTTCGATCCCGGCGCTGGCAAAGAAAGTACATCGGGATTTTCCAACGTGGTTCCCGCTTGTCAGTGATGTAGGACGGGTGTTCTGGCAAGGGACAAAGTCTAGTCGTTAAGGTCCCGTGTACACATTGGCGTGCATGTAAAGGATCCCTTGACTATTGGAATTCGAAATAAGAGTAGCGCCGCTGCCCGGAAAAAAAATCCCCCATAGCACACTGCATGGCGTATGCTCATCTTCATTAGCCCAGTAGAATCAGAAGCATTAAATCCCATTTCATTTCATTCCCAAGCGTCATTTTATATTTCATTTCTTATACATTGATAGGATTGGATGGAAGCCCGGCCTTCTAGCGTGTATTAAGGTCGTGACAGTCTTGTTTTTTTATTTATTAGATCAACAACAATAGTAAATAAGACACAGTTTATGGTGATAATATATTATCACAATAACCACTAGTAATAAACATGGGGTAACTGTAAATATGTCATTTTACTTAATCTTGATTTTTGTCAACCTGTTTTGTTGGTTTAAAACTCTTTGAATTCTCTTCACGTAGTCTTCAGATTTGGCTTCGGTTTTGAAGAGCCGTGTTGCATGCTAAATCATATCACGAGTGACGCACTTACATCTGAAAAACAAAATTAATTTATAAGTTTTGACCTAGAAAGTCTTTAACTTTGTATTTGTTTATATTATATTTGAAGCACACGTAACATCTGAACAAAAAAAAAGATTAATTTATATTTTTTGACATAGAAGGTCTTTGACTTTGTTTATAGTTTTTTTTTTAAACTGGTTAAAAGAATAGGCTCTTAGTTCAAAAGCGTGGGTACGGACTTTGAGCAACCACTAGTAAACGTCCTTCAAAATAAAAAAAGAACTCATCAAGTCGTATAATAGTCAAATCGAAGCCCTTCGAACGGTTGCACTTGCTACCTATCAATAAAGGAATAATTTACTGTTTTTTCAAACAGTTAGTGTGCTCCTTCCTACCTTTAAGATCTACTTAAACTCAACCGTCGACGTGCATTACAAGATTTCCAGACAAATTTCTATTAAAGATACCACAGACAAGATACGATTCTCTTGGAGACCAGAACATTTCAGTATGGCTACTGTGCCTGGAATAAGCTACCAAGGTCAATCGAAGAAACAAACTCTGCCTGCGTAATTATCCAAATCCAATCGGGAGACACTCTATTCACCCATATCCGGGCTTCACAAATATGCATCTCTTTGAAAAACTACATTGCCAACGTTTAACCATTGCAAAGAAATTTCAAAGACAACAACCTGCACTGGAAGGGAAATGTACATCTCGCTAATACTCTACGTTAAATAATTTGTAAATTGTTCCACGAAAAAAATGGAAAACGGCAGAATTTATGCCTATATTCGTATGAGAGGACGGCTAAGTTTTTGACACCTTTCAAGTGGTGTGAAATAATCAACACCATATTAATCATACGTCAAGACGTTTATAATGATGTACATTAGACTAGTTTATAGTATTATTAACGACACCTATCAAGGCAAGTAACTCACCCGTTTAATTATATCTAAATATAACCGGTATTAATCTATTACGAATTCAGTGCATATCAAATTCTCTTGCGTATGGTCTTTTCTACTTTATAAATGAAATAGGATTTAACGTTCTACTGTTCTGCTCCTACTAGGTTATAAATGAAGACGGGCATACGACATGCGGTGTGCTTTGAGGGAAATTTTGCCGGGACAGCGGCGCTACGACCTACTTTTATTTCGAATTCCATCCAATCCTATCAATAACTAGGAAATGAAATGGAGTTTAATGCTTCTGCTTCTATCGGACTAATGAATATGGGCATATGCCATGCAATGTGCTATGAGGGAAATTTTCCCCGGAAAGCGGCGCTAATTTCAATTGTCAAGGGATCTTTTGTCGTACCATCCGAAATAGCTAGAACCAATAAAACCACTATTTATTGTTATTAGTAAGATAGCTAGAACCAATAACGTCACTATTTATTGTTATTAGTAAGATAGCTAGAACCAATAACGTCACTATTTATTGTTATTGGTAAGATAGCTGGAACCAATAACATCACTATTTATTGTTATTGGTAAGATAGCTGGAACCAATAACATCTCTGACTGGGAAAATGAAGACGGAATGCCAGCCTATTATAAGATAACTTGACCTGAGTAAATAAATAGATATAAAAATTAATCATTTTATTAAAAAATGACTTGAATCCGAATGAATTATTTCAGTAATCGATGAGGATTATCAGCGATTGTTCGTCCTGTTCATCGACAATGCAAATATAGGCAATGCACTCAAAATATTAAAATTTCAGCTTTGAAACCTGCCGATTTACTACATTAAAAAATTCTTTTTTTGTGAATTTATTGGTATATGAACTCGTCCATCTTGTAAAATAAATTATCTATGTGCTCAATAACCGAAGTAGAAGTGGTTATGAGATGTTTAACATTTCACTGTTTGTAATTTATTACGGTTTGTTAGTTTTTGGGGTTGTTTTTTATTTGCAATTTTTTTGAAGGCAAATTGTAAATACGCGTGGTTAATATGTTCACCACAAAACTTACAACTTTTTTTTCGTTTGTTATTTTTTTTTTTTACAAATTTTGTCAATTTCCCAAAGGTCATCAGAACATGGTGTGCAACTTCATAATTTTTTAATTATTTTTTATTTGGTTTTAAAAATCAGTTGATAAGGAAAATTTCTAATCAGACTTCCGTTAACGTTATCGCAACCTGCTTAATAACGATTGAGACGACGTTCTATCTACGTCTTACACTTTGTGTACTTGGGCATGCTTGTCAAACCGGGAAATGCACAAACTTATTACTTATTTTAATATATACCTGTTCTCTGTTAGTTTTTTTCTATGCATAGACGGAAAACTCGTGTCAGTGATGACGAATTATTAAAATAAGTACTTTATTTATTTGCTGGTGTGTTGAACTAGTGTGGTTTCTATATTTACTAAGTGAATTTGTAAAACTTGCAAATTTAAAAGTTTAAAATAGTCATTGTGGAATTTACTGCCTCTGCTTGCGGAACTGGCTATTTGACCGCTTTTGTGTGGTTACTGGTGAAAGGGTAGGTGTGGGTTTATATTGAGATATACTGGAAAATAAGTGAAAATGACTAAAAATAACTTTCGTAGGAATTGAAATGGTTTTCTAACTATATCTGTAATCTTGAAAATATATTCCATTTTAGAATTAACTAAGATATAATGAAATATATATGTTATAGTGACTAAAAGTAGCTTTCCGGGGAGCTAAAATTATTTCAAACAATATTTACCGTCGAGTAAAACAAAACCTTAAATATGCCATTTTAGAATTTAAAAGTGGTTTATTATATTTTATTGTTCTTCATCCCAGGTGACATCTTTGACTTGAGAGGTTATTGTTTTAGATGAAAGGATGGACACTATAGTAGGCTATTTCTGCAGATTTTTACTTTTAGACCATTTTAGTAATACTGACTAGGCTTTATGTAAATAACCATTGTGTCCTCGTTAATAAAAACACGTTTGTAAGCAGTAAAAACTCGCTTGGATATGATTAATATCATGATAAGGATCGGTGACAATCCGATGCAGCGTGTAGACATGTTATTAAAATCTTTTCAAAAGGTGACATTGAAATTTTGTTTGCTTAACTAACGTTTGGCCGATTACTGTTGAGAACCCTGGGTGCAATCATGCGCAGTACTACATGTCTGTAATGACCAGGGTGGCTCCTCCTACTGACGAAATACCGGTACTAGAACTTCTCCCGACATTTATTATAAATTACACTCAAGCAGCTTCAATTTGTATAACAGCATAATTTAATCTGGTCATTGGACAGGTTACATTTGACTGCACCCGACTGCCATGAATGCGAAATAATTATCAATTTTAAAGACTTTAAATTCTCCTAATCCGAAGATGTTTTAAAATTTAAAATGAATGTGTGTAATATATAAGTTTAGATAGGAAAAAAAGTTTTGACATTTGTATGGAAACTTGAAATATTGTTTTATGACAGCTTGTGAATGTTACCTAGTGAGTTTACTTGTGTGACAAGTTGAAAGAATTATGGACGTATAACTAATTGTACTGCAAAGGTAAGATTCAATTTTCACATTTTTTTTATTAATTTAAGCTTCGCTTGATTTTGATAAATGGTTTTTAAAATAAAAAAGTTGAAATAAAAAGAAGTATGTTTATGAATAAACTCGTTTCAACAAAGACAATCCTTTATTGAGATGAGCTCGGTACAAAACTGGTGTTTCACTGCGAGAAAAAGGTTTAGGAACACAATATAAACCTGAGTGGGATTTATTAGGCTCAAAAGAAAGTAGATTCACAACCACGGTGTTTCATATGTCCAGCTTTGAAAAATATGGGAGGCGGAAACATGTCTTTTGCAGGTATTTCATAGCAGTACAATGGGTTTGAATTTTCGACTATAACTTTAAAATGCAAAGACATAGCCTATACTAAGTGGAATACGGATTGCATTGTGTGGCTGCTAAACGCCCGACTATTGTGTGCCTTTCTTATTTTAGTTAAACAAAAATATCTTATTTTAAATTGGGGTGTAATAAATAGAAAGTAAATAGGAGATGTGGGAATGCGCATGACAGGTTTATGGACGTGATTTATCGAGACACACAGATGATTATGTAACAGAAATATATCAAAATTGTTATGTTTTCATTTCGTCTAAAATGTTACACAGGAATTATAGAAATTCAAGTAGCGGCTAGAATGAAAAATTTCGACAAATATTTCAGCAGTCCTGTCGTTGATATGCGTAAATATATGTCCGGGTCCTTTACGATAAAATCCCAATACCTTATAGACTTCCATCACATCGCTTCACGTAATGATGGAGGTTCGCGTGCAGAAAACAATTATTTGCCAAGATCTCGGGACTAAAGTTGTCCAAAATGATATAATGTACAGATTAGCAATAGCAGCTTGAGTAAAACTAGACTTTGATTTAACACGATTGACTTGAACTGAACGCAATTTTTCCATAGCGCCGCAGTCCATTGACATGTACAGATAACTAAATAATTAATCTAGTATTAACTATTCCTGTTGTTTATTAAGAATTTGGTTTTCCTTAATATATTTTTCCCCTTTTTCCACAGAGAAGGAAGAAACCTTTACAATATGCAGTCGGCGAACAGCTCACCGTCGGAGAAGAAACGAAAGAGATCGGTGTTTACAAAGTCTGTCTCCAGTGGACAGTTAAATACATCTGTCCAACAACAAAATGGACACTTCGAAAGGCAAAACTCCTGTGTTAGTTTTATTGATCTCCCGTACGTTATAGACAGTCCCGATTTAATCAAACCCATCTCCCTTTCGTCGCTTCCGAAATTTAAATCGTTGTACCAAAGATCGAATTCAGTAGCATCATGTTCTCCGGTTCCAGGTCTAACTCGTTCCAATGGAAGTTTTTCAAAGATGGCATCCAGGAGAAACTCGAGTGGGAATTTCCGCCAGTTATCCGAAAGCCTTGTATCTCAGAAACAATATACCCGACCTTTGTCAGCAAGGACCAATTCCAGTGGATTTTTTGATACTTCAGCTGACACGCTACCCGGTGATACTAGGGTATGTTACGTTTATAGTTCAATGTTATCTACTAAACCGATTGAATTAATTAACTATACTAATCAACTAAACCGATTGAACTAATTAAGTATACTAACACCAACTAAAATTGCACATGGGTAATCATATGTGCTTGCTGCTCTGGAACACAGGACATCATCGCTAAGCGGTGCTCTTGTTTTCTCAGAATATTGTTTTATTTTCTTACATAGTCTGTACATACAAACAGTAGCGTGGCCAGGCCTGTCCGTAGCTAGGTAGCACTTTGCGTGAAACAAAAGTTTGTTCATATATTGACAAACACTAGCTGCGCAACTGCATATCAAATATTTAATAACACACAGAAATAGTTAGTATAACTGATTAATTTCAACACGTTCGAAAACTGGTTGATTATGCAGAGAAGGTTTGACTGTAGCTATAGTATACTCGATTTACGATCGGTAAGCGTTAGCATTCAATAGGGTAATTGAAATGCTACAAAATATTAAAATGCTTGATCTTTTAGAGGCATTTAGTAACTGGATACAGCAATAAACAACACGACATACTTATGGAAGAACAATTGCTGATTTACTCTGACGTTGCCTAAATAAATCAGTAATTGTTCTTCCATAAGTATGTGTTATAGTTTATTATTAATATGATTGTATTTTTGAATGGAGTGGGGTGGGATTTAACTGCTCGTCAACACAATCATTCAGTCATTTTGATACTCACTATTCCAGAGCCCCATTTTGCCTAGCTACACTGACATCCAATACACCCCCACCCCCACCCCGACCCGATCCCACCCCACCCCAAGCAATATGAATTTCATTCCGACTGACATGTTCTATGATTATTCTCTTGCCATGACACCACATCGGCGTATAGATTTTATTTGCAACGGAAGCCTGTGATATAATTAATTGACACTGCGGACATATTCCATTTTAAACCTTCCCTTAAAAATGACACAAGTATACATGCTTCGTTCTACAGTGGACGGAGTTTTGTCAAAATGACTTCATGTATAACTGATTAATTGTAATTAATCAACTGAAATAAATATCTTTTTTTTAAGCTATATATATCACATTGACGGACAACCCTGGGGCTTGGTTTTGCTGTTTATTTGTACGCACGTGAAATTAATTTATAACACTGGACAATGGAAAGGTAGCGACAGTATTTGTGTAATGGCGTTTTTTCGAATGGTAGAGAAATACCCATCCAGCTTTCTGAGTCGAGCGATTTCTCAATAGTTGTCGTATAAACAAAAATCCAGAACTGCGTGGTCAGTTTCCGTCGAAGATTTGTAAATAGTTAAAGACAGCACATCATCTGAAATAAAAGAGGACTTTGGTTGGGATTGAATGAATGGAAGCTCTTTGTAAAATGGTAGGACGTACTATATTTTTTCCCTTTCCGTAATTATAAGAGAATTATTGTTATGACAAAATAAATTTTCGGAACTGAACTAGTCCTTTTGTGGATAAATCAGTGAGAATTTCGCAAACGAAAACTGGATTTAAATAAATTTAACGAATTAAACCAGTTTGGTACAAGAAAAGTTTGAAACCGGTTTATAATACCGACCAAGCTTATCTTCCTTATCAACTCTGTGGGTCGTGGGTTTAGCGGTCTCTCTTGTAAGCAGTTTTAGGTTACTTTGTCGCAGGAATAAACAATTTTCAATTGCTTTGTTTCACGAGCAAACAGTTTTCAATTGCTTTTTCGCGCGAGCAAACAGTTTTAAATGCTTTGTCTCACTAGTAAATAGTTTTCATTTGCTTTGTTGCGCGAGCAAACTGTTCCCAATTGCTTTATCGCGCGAGCAAACTATTTTCATTTGCTATGTCGCGCGAGCAAACTGTTTTGCTTTGTCTCACTAGTAAATAGTTTCCAATTGCTTTGCGAGTAAATTTGTTTTCAATTGTTTTGTGGCGTGAGTAAACAGTTTTAAGTTGCTTCGTGGAGCGAGTAAACTGTTTAAGTTGTTTTATCGACCATTTTGTTGTGTAAACCATCAAACCGCATCATCAAACCACAAACCAAGGAAACTGAGTTTGACCTATCATTGCTCAGCCTTGACATCAATAAATAATTCTGATATTTACTGACGTTTTATTTGACTGTGAAATGACAAATATTGTTTACAACATCGAGGTTTCCATAATTAATAGAGACATTTTCAGTGACAGGATGATGAGACATAAAATTGTGCCTGCCTAGAATAATTGTTGGGATTGAGTTGATTGTCGGTTTTGCTTGGACTTCATTGGTTTACTAACATTCGGTGAGCATGGTGATAGCTCACCAACCAGGAAGTCCGGGGTTCGACCTCGGTGTTGACCTATTCTGCACACAGAGATCCATCTACTTCATACTTCGAGAATTGATCTCTGCCCTAAATGGCCGCCATATACAAAAAATAGTATACTGCTTTGTAATGCGGTTCTACCCCGTTCCATATCTGTCATACACAAAGACTAAATAAACTAGTAGTCTGGATGGGCCTGGCAACGAAAGCTGTCTAGTAATCCGGGTGGGCCTGACAACGAAAGGCGTCTAGTAGTCCGGATCAGACGAAACACCGAGATCCACTCATATAGTCGTTCATGGTGTGCACGTAAATTCCATGTTTTAAAGGGGCATTATGTAAGATTTAGCTAAAGAGCTAGTCAATCACGCTATAATATTTCAAAAATAGATAATACAAAATGAATATATTGAAAATTTCATTAAAATTACTTTATTTTGAGCGAAGTTATCAGTGGTTGTAGATTTGACAAGATGTATGCATTGACCGTAACCACCCTGCTGGTCATTGGAGTCTTAGCCTCGCTTCTCCAATTTTAGATTAAATCATTGAATGGCTTAATCGTTTTAATCTACTTACAATCGGAGCCATCCGATGGCATCGAGAGTTGATTATGGTCTTGTCCTGTTAATAAATGTCTTATCAATAATTTATATAACATTTAAGGCCAAAAAAAAGACCTGCAATAGGCAGATTTAGCTTATTTCGATGAAGAGTGCATATAAAAGAACCCTTGACAGTTGGAATTCGATGAAGTTGGGGAAAACACCGCTGCGGGTCTTCAAAATACTACCATTTTCTGATTTTATTTTGTGACATATAACGTGGTTTCGATTCCCCGCGTGTACGGGACAAGGAGTATGGTCTCCTGGTCAGCCTCGTAGGTTTTCTCCGGTTCTTCCGACACCTAAAGACCCCTACGCCCAAGCGAAATGTTGCAATAACGTTGAACCATATTTTAGTTCTGGAATTCGGAATTACCTAATTTATGTCGAGTGGACGTTAAACCCCATTTCTCGTTATATATAATATATATATTATGTGACGATAACGTCGCTTAATTACATAATAGCGACGTTATTGTATTTTGTACATAACCCTGAAGACGCCTAAGGCCGAAAGATCTTGCCAAATATGTAAATATAATTAAAATACAGATTTTTCCTTCCAAATCTTAGTATTTTTGGTATAATTAAGGTGGCAATATAATTATGGCATTTAAAAAAAATCACCGTTTCTCGTAGATATCATCATATATTTGGCGCAGCATGGCCTCACTGATGCTGACGAGCAATAATAAAACACCACTTTATTTTCATTTATTGGCTCTTATGTAACTATATGTTGTCCCACTTCTCAGGTAGCTTTCCACTGCTGAATGGCAATTGACGGTAATAAATCATAAACAGAGCGAGCACGCGACATACAAAAGGCTATTATGTTCACAGTGACCCTATCGTGTCGGTAATTAATTAATTAGTCTGTAACCACATTTTTATTACCTCATAGTCTTGTCAGATTACACTTCATTATGCTGTGTTATTCTTAGTTTTAATCCACGCACATTAAATAGACAGCAATAAATATTACCTGGAATACCTACCTGTACGGGGAACTCTACCTGTACATGTTCTAACAGATCCTACACAAGTTCAAAGTTGAAGGAATAGTGTATCCTGGTGTTATAAATAGGCCATGAAGTTTGAATATCATTGTTATAACTCTTTTGCTGTTCTGAGAAATAGCGACAATAATGAAATTACATGAAATGGAATCGGAAATAAAATGGGGTTTAACGTCCTACTGTTCTACTTCGAACTGGGTTAATGAAGACGGGCATACGCCATTATACAGTGTGCTATGGGGGGGGGGGGGGGAATTTTGCCCGGACAGCGGCACTACGGCCTACTCTTATATCGAATTCCAACTGTCAAGGGCTCTTTTACGTGCACGCCAATGTGTACACGGGACCTCGGTTTTTCGTCTCATCCGAAGGACTAGACACTGCTGGTCAGTGTGGATATGCAGGTGAATTTAATTTTCAGACAGACAGCTGTTTTTGTCAGGCCCTCCATCTTGCTCCACTTTCAACACCGGGAACGAACCGGAGACCTCCAGGCTAGCGAACCAGTGTCTTACTCACTGAGTCACCGCGGCTCTTGTAAAGTTTTTAAAGGTACGAATTCGGGATTGACGACGTACGTGTATTAGTAAATTCTAAAACCTAAATCATTAACCAAGTTATTTACAAGCGACAGAACAAAACCTACCACGGGCTAACAAATGTAACACCTTTGTTAAATAATTATATCTAGGGTTTATAGAACAAGACAATACACACATATACATACAATAAAGTTTCCGCTATTTTTAGTTTACTTATATATTGTTAATAAGCTTGACGTAAATATATGATACACATTTCTAGGATTCATAAAACATAAAGATACATACGTGTAATATAAATTTTTATTGTAGTTTCCGCTATTTTTAGTTTAAATATAATTAAAGTCGCGGTAGTTGGTTGGTAATGTTTTTTGTTTACTTATGTTTAAAGTGGCGGTTATTGGTTAGTAATTTTTTTAATTTACTTATGTTTAAAGTGGTGGTTGCTGGTTAGTAAATAATCTTGTGGCAAATCTATTATTGACATATAAATCCATGCTTGTAGATATTTGAATAGAGGAATGAAATG